CCTTTTTTAGCATTTAGTGCCAATTTATAGAAGACAGACACTAAGAACTTGGGCTGATTGGAGGTGTTGTGGAGTTTTTGAGCAATGCAGTGAATATTTTTGTCATTCTGTGGTAAATATAAGACTGCAGCAGCTGTAGCTGTGCTGTTAATGAGTCTTATTAAGATGGTGGTGTCAGTAACATTAACCCAATGCTGCCGGATAAAAAAGTTTGGCAAGTGGACATAATAACGAGATTGTTGGCGTGCATTGGCAGTTTCCCCTGTTTGCGGCCGGCTCGTTTGGTAATTTGCAAGTGACATTTTGCTATGATTTATAAAAATAATATAATTTTGAAGGTTTACCTTCATTATTGGTGCTATTACCTAAAATCTTTACCATATAAATGAAGCTGCTACTATCAGAGATAAACTCCGTCAGATGACCCAATGACGCGGAAATGGTCATGATACAATGCCATCCATTTTTCGGTACACAACAGCCATGGCATGTTCGTGCATGCCACCAGGAGGCCAGTGGATAACCTAGTGACAACTTGTGTATATGATTTGTAATGCCTGTTTATTTATTTATTTATTTATTTATTCATTCATTTTCTTGGCTTTTTCCAGAATCAGTAGGAGCCCTGTCATAATAATTCAGTAATACCCTCTCTTCAGTTCCTGTATTTTGCATATCCCACACCTTCAAAGTGATGGAACTACAACCACTGCAGAGTAAACAATTGAGTAATTACATTTGGCATGTTCTCTGTGGTCACCTACTGAAATAATCTGGTTGCTTTGCGAAATTGTCACTTCTCGTAGTTTTGGCGTAAGAGAGATGCCAGAATGAAGAAAAGAAGGAATTCAAAATGGAAATATAATGAACACAGTCTGTCAAGAGAATGGACTTTATTTTGAATGAGAATGGATATCATGAATGAGAATGGATAACTCCACACAGCAATATCCATGTCTGATTGGACTTCTTGTATAATAGAAATATTCTTTCTTGTCTATAATTTTTTTTTGTTAAATGTTGCCAGCCTAAGTAATTTATCCCATTGAAGGAAAGAGAGATTCTTCCATTAATTTATAAATTTATTTATTTCTCTATTGTAAAGCTGTAAAGAAAATAGTAATTATGAAAAATAGAACTGCATGAATCTTGAGGAAAACAAATATAATTGTCACAAAAAACTTATGAAACATGGATATTACTCATTATAAGAAAAGAAAAATATTTATCCTAAAATCAGTTATTGAGTCCTGAGGATCTATATATCAAGTGAAAACATGGGGCTTGAATAATGTTGATCAAACCAATCATAGTTAGAACTTGTCCACTTGACTTCCCTCAGAATAAGATCATGCCAGAACATATGTAGTAGAGATTTGCTGACCTTTGCCAGATTGCAGAGCACCATACTGAACCACAACACAGGTGTCTGCAGTCAGCTGCTCAGGTGAAAAAAGAATATGGAAAATATACGTTCTCCTTGCTTTCTTAATATAAGTGTGCGTGAATGCATAACCCCAAGCCACTGGGCATGGCATGTACATACGTGCCATAGCCCATTGTGTGTTGAATTTAGTCGTTGTTTTTACATATAGAAGGCTCCACAAGTGCTAAGTCACCAATGAGCCAATTACACGAACTATGTCTCGCCTGTTTACTCTTTTCCTTGATTTTCGATAATATTTTCTAATATTTAATACTGCTGTTGGTAATGTCAGTAGCAATATAGTAATTATAATGTTTATAACAAAAATAAGTGTCAATATTGATAGCATTAGTAAAAACCATTTTGCCGTCGACATTGGTTAAGTGTATGGGAGAGTGTGTACATATATATATGTGTGTGTATGTATGCATGCGTGTATATACGCATGTGTGTATGTATGTTTGCATGTGTGTACGGATGTATGTATGTATGCATGTGTGTATGTATGCATGTATGCATGCATGTATGCATAAGTGTATGTATGCATATATGCATATGTGTATGTATGCATGTATGCATATGTGTATGTATGCATCTATGCATATGTGTATGTATGCATCTATGCATATGTGTATGTGTGCATCTATGCATATGTGTATGTATGCATGTATGCATATGTGTATGTATGCATGTATGCATGTGTATGTAGGCATGTATGCATGTGTATGTAGGCATGTATGCATGTATGCATGTGTATGTATGCATGTATGCATGCATATGTGTATGTATGCAAGTATGCATGCATATGTGTATGTATGCAAGTATGCATGCATATGTGTATGTATGCATATGTGTATGTATGCAAGTATGTATGCATATGTGTATGTATGCAAGTATGTATGCATATGTGTATGTATGCAAGTATGTATGCATATGTGTATGTATGCAAGTATGTATGCATATGTGTATGTATGCAAGTATGTATGCATATGTATGCAAGTATGTATGTATGTGCATATGTGTATGTATGCAAGTATGTATGTATGTGTATGTATGCAAGTATGTATGCATATG